CACTGTTATTGCTTTAAGAGATTTTTGCTTGATCACTTAGGCAAACGTTTTTGTTGTAATGATCAAGGTGCTAGACTTTGTTAAATGACAGGCCATTATGTCCTCCTGAAAAAGCTGATGTAGTAGTTCAATTGTCTAGTAGTAGTAGTTGATAGAAAGTGTATTAAATACTATATATTTTGTATCTTGTTTGACCTTAAGTGGTCTGTGCAGTGTGTGTTTTAATCTATCAGTTTTTCCTCCTCTTTGTCTTCTAAGTTCTAACAGCAATAGAACATCATCTTAATAAACCTGAAATTAACATCTCTGCTGAACTACAACTTTTGAATTTTTTATGGTATTAAAAATGGACCTCTTATCTTATTTATCTTCTTGGTGCATAGGCACCTTGATAATTTGCTGCTCCAGGATGATGACAGTCTTTTCCATGTTGATTTTGGTTTTATTCTCGGTCGAGACCCTAAGCCCTTTCCACCAACTATGAAACTTTGCAAAGAAATGGTTGAAGCTATGGGCAGAGCAGAAAGGTATTTGACATAAATCTAAGCTATTAGGTTCTACATCTGAGTTTTGTCTTGTGCATTTATCTGCAAATGTTGCACGAGCTCTTTTTGTGCTTCATATATGAGCTAAACTGGAAACAGAAAAAAATGAAAATAAGAGAAAACAAACATTTTAGTTGCTACATGCTCATTATATTTTGTATATATCCTTTTGTATCACTTGACATGTAGACAGTTGGACGGGCTTGCTGCTATTTGATGTAAATTATGCACTGTTTTTGTAAATTATAAAATGCGCTAGGATTTACATTCTAGCTTATTCTATATAACTGTCATGTGTCTTTTTGAGGGGCAGGTGATCCACAATTTGTCATGTATATTTGTGCTTGGGAATTTTATTGCATTTCAGGTTGGGTTTAGCCTTAATGGTGGGTCTAGTGCCTTGGTGGCATCCATCATTGGTGCACGGCATGTTTTGGATCCGTTAGGGTGATTCTTGTATTGTTGTTGGTGGGGAAAATATGCATGGCACTGCTGGTAGTCTGGTGGATATAATATTTTCCTTTTTCTTCTGTTTGTTCTCTTGCAGTCAATACTATACCCGGTTCAAATCGTACTGCTGTGAAGCATACAATATCCTAAGGAAATCAAGCAACCTAGTACTAAATGGGAGAATTTTCAGATTAGCTTTGTCAACTAGGCTTTTCCTAAACAACGTAAAATGTCAGTTTTATCCTTAATGAAATGGATTTTATTGCAAAATATATTCTTACTTTATGAATAGTTTTAAAATTTAGTTTTTATTTTATATTTCTTCTATTTCTCTATTCGTCTTTACTTGATATTTCTTCTGAATCTGATTTTTCTTCAAAAAATTCTTTATCAGTTACTATTTCTTCACATTCATCCCTAATTTGTTCAAAATCTGTAATTAGTATTCTAACTTTCTTTTTTTAGTATTCAGTACTTATATGTCTTTATTCATTGCAATTCCAACATTTATATCGTTTTTTATCTAATGATTTGTTATAGGGTTTATATTTTCTTTTAAAATATTTTCTTTTATATTTAAAATATTTCTTTTGAACTTTTTATATTTTTTATATTTCTTATGTTTTATTTTTCTTTTCCATTTATAATCATAGCATCCCCAATTTCATGGTACTTCAGTATCTCTATAGCAAATCATATTTTGTATAAATCTTGATTGTTTATAAATCATTTGATTACTATACATTGCACTTATTTCATCTTTTATGGTGCTTATTATAAATCCCAAAGTATAGGCTTCTACATTTCTTTCAAGTTGTTTCTCTTTAATCTTATTTTAAAAATAATTATTCCACAGTGATGGTAATTTTCAAATAAAGACTTCTTTATAATAATTGTTATCAGCTCCACTTCCAAACATTATATAATAATATTTATTATATTCACAACAATATTCATTAAGGCAACACATATTACAAATTTGTAAATGTTCCATCCTATTTTTAGTATCTTCTATTTCTTCTGCTCTAGCTATAGTACTTTTTGTTACCTAGTCGTCTCCTGCGAATTCTCTATAAATTCTTGTAGCAACTCTATCTATACCTTCAACTATGCTAATTCCAAATCATGCTTCAATATTATCTTTCCAAACGCCTTTTGTTGTTTCTTCTAATCCTTGATACCAATTAACTACATTTCCTTTAAAAGTTGCTAATAAATATTCAGCTCTATTTTGATTATCATTATTACTACAGTTATAATTAAAGTGTGCTATCATATTAGTACTCAATTCATATATAAATTTTCTAACATCTAATTTACAATCTAAATTTAAATATGATCCTTCAATTTTCATTGAGTTTGATTATCTTAATATTGGTTTAATTGGTCTCTGTATATTTTTTCTTTTCTAGTTTTAAAATCAACTTTTGTATTAACATATCTTCTAGGGTCTATTTCTGCTACATAACTAGCTGTGTTAGTTTCTCCATAATCTTCTTGTTTAACTGCTCGTGATCCTCATGTTCTTCCAACCATATGATTTTTAGTTATTTTTTTACAAATTTTTAAATCTTCTAAGTTGAATATTAAGTTTATTATAACTTCGTTCATTATTTTTCTATAACTAATTTTCCTTCTTTTTTTCTTCTTCCCTTTCTATAAGATTTTCTTCTTGTTTTCTAAAATCAATTAATAATCTTTCAATATCTTTTTTTAATCCTCTATTAAGTTTTATTAATTTTTCATATTTTTCAATCTTATTTCTAACTTTTTAAAGTTCTTTAGTATAATCTAGTTTAACTAGTTTTTCTTTGCTTAGATTTTCTATTCTTAAGAAATTATTTTGTAGTTTTTCCTTTTCTTCTTTGTAGCTTATTTCAATTTTAATAATTTTTTTATCAATTGTTTTATAATTTTTTCAATTAAATTAATTTTATCATTCACACTCATCTTTTAGTTTTCTTACAAGGTGGTTTGTCAATTTCAAATCCTAATTTGTTTAATAGAATATCAATTTTATTGTTAATAATATCTATTTTTTCTTCTAAGGTTGCTATTTTACTAATATTATTTTTCTGTGTAATTTTTGATATTTGATTTTGGATTTCTTCAAATTTAGGTTCATCAAGCATTTCTAAAGTATTAATTTGTTCCGTTATTTTATTAAATTGTTTGGACATATTTTTACTTAAAACTTCTAGTGTTTCTTTAGCTATTTCATCTTTTGGATCTATGTTATTAATTCCATCTATAGTTTCTATGTCTTTAGATTTTAATTGTCCTAATTGTTGCCATAAAAATGCATTAGTCTAATTTGTAGTCATATTTAACCATTCATCTATATTTTCCTATGAATTTAAGGGTTGAAATAGAGTTGTATTCCATCCTCTACTTTGATAACTTCCTAGTGGTAGTCTTATATTTTCTATCTCTTATTTATCAAATCTTATTTTTCTTAGTAGACTCATACTAGTCTGGTAGGTTTAAGGGATTTGTTATATTATTTATTATTTGTTCTATTTCTCTTCTTAGTTGTTCTTCTATTCTTAATTCTCTTTTGATTTTATTCCATCTAGAATTTTCTTTATCAATTTTTATAATATTATTCCTAGTTATTTGTTCTTCTAAACTTTTTATTTTATTATCACAAAATTTTTTAATTATTCCAGGCATATATTTAGTAAATTTTAATATATTTTTTATCATTATAATTCTCTATTCTTTTTCTCCAAATTTTTATTCATTATCATCAAAACTAAGATCAAAATCATATAATTCAGCAATTTTATTATAGTTCTCATGCTGTTCTATAATTTCAAAAACTTTTTCACTATTTTCACTGTCCAAATAGAAAAATATAATTATTTTTATTATTTCTTTAGGTAATCTTTCTTTTAATCTAAATGATGCAATTGTAAGATATTTTTTTTATAATATCTGATATCTCTTTCTATGAAATTTATTCATCTAGTATAACTATCATAGGTTTTTGGATTTTCTATTTTGTGACTATAATAAATGCTATTAGTATACCTAAAAGGTGCGATTCTGTATAAAATTTCGTAATTTTCCATAATGAAAAGTTCTCCAGAGTACGCAGTCCTCTAAAAATTCTTATATAATAATTTTCTTACAAATCTTCAGATAATAATCTTCTTTTTAGATTAAAATAAGGGTCTTACCACGCTTCGCTAAATAGTAGAATGTTATACGTTTCTGGTCACCTTCGTCAAAATAGTCGGCCAAAGTCCTGACAGCATCACAATAAAACGGATAGAAGGGCACCCAAAACTCTCAAACAAACTCACTGTGTAGAACAACACTCAAAGCATAATAAAAGATTTATTTCAAACTTAAAGACTTTATTGATCTGATGATAGTTTGAAAGTTATTATACAAAGATTTTACAAGGATTGAAACTCCGAAGAGTGGTTTCTACTCTCTAATGGGAATGATTACAAAGATCATTTTCGAAGATGATGCTTCTTTTTGAAGTTTGTAATTCAAGATGCCTTGCTTTTTGAGAAGAATCTCAATTTTTAGAAGGCTTTCACTTCACTGAGAAGTTTCTAGCCAATCAAATTGTTTTACTTTTTAAAGTATTGGTACAAGAATTCAAAAAGTAGATGAATTATTAAAGCATCTGTTGACTGCTTTATTCCAACTTTTGAGCTGTCTCCTTTTTCTTTAAAGCTCACATGGTGTTGTCTGTGATGTCGTTTTCTTTATCGTCCTTTACTTGTGGACGTGTCCTATAAGTTGATAAGCCTCTTTAATGCATTCTTCACTTCCAAGGAATTGGTCGTTGATAATTTCATAAATCTTATCTTCAAGAATTTTTGACTCTTTATCTCCTCTGCAAATAAAAATTAAATTATTGCTAATTCCATAAACCATATATCTTTCTCCATAAAAGAATTGCATTGTTGAGCATACTGATTTTATTCCTAGAGCTCTTCTGTAAATCATCAATTTTCTATTAATATTGCGTAACTCTTTAAAAATCTGAATTTCCTTAAGTGGATTTCTATTATTCTTTCGAATAATGATGAGATGATATTCTCCATACCATTTTGGTTCTTTATATTCAGGAATAATTGTATAAAATCTCAGTTCAATTGGTTACTTATCACTGAATTTTTTGATATAATTAATAAATTCTTTATCAAATTGTTCAATTTCTTTAAGATATCCTTCTAGGAAGAGTCGATCTAAAAATCCAAATGTTGTCAATTTTCGAATAATATTAGGATCTGCTCCCTGAACTGCACTGATCCTTGGATAAATCGTCGTTGGAAGGGCTATCAAGTAAAGAGAATTTCCTTATCTGAAATTATATACCCATTCTGAAAATTCATAATATTCCTTCTCCATAGGGTCTAGATTAGTTCTGATGTGATGAGTATTAATTATTCCCTTTGGTGATTTAAGGTCACTAATCTGTACTTTTTTTATTTTTTGGAATTCACTGATAACAGTATGTTGTTCCAATAGACCTTTTGATAAGGATGTTTGAGTACTGGACTCAGTGACTCATTTTCCACT